CAGCGGGGGCCGGAGCCCGGGCCACAGAAGGAGGACCTGCAGGGTTTGATGGACGATATCGTTTACGTCAAGGGCGACGTCCTCGCTCAGATGCGTGCGTTTTCGTCTTTCGACGTCAAGTGCTTCGGGCCCGTGGGGGTTGCCCGCACGTCGTCTATTGCAGACAACTTCGACGCAATGTGTGAGGCGGTGATGCGGCTGTTGAAGTTTGGTCTAGATTTGTCCACGACTGCGGGTGTGCAATCGTTGCGGTGGTTGGAACCCATAGCCACAGCCATGGCGAACGCGCGCTACACGTTTCGGACTACTCTCGTGCGGAATAGTGATGTGTTTCCGGACGAGTACCAGCGGGCGGCACTGCCAAGGTTGCCGAACGAGGATTTCAAACTGTGGACAACGGCGATCATCACCTGGATGTACCCCTTCACGAAGATGCATTATCCGCCAGATGCGTTCGACGGCCACACCTTGCCGCCGGTGCCCGAGTTCCCCAACATCAACAACTTCTGTGAACGGGGGGTGAATCTATTCCGGCTGGTCCTGAGTGACGGAGGATCCCTCCCCGGAACAGGAGAGTCGCGGGGCGGGAGCGGCAAGCGTAAGGCGGGCCAACTGGATCGGGGTGATTCATCATCACGGAAGCGCGTCTCAAGGGAGTGCTTCCAGTTCCGCGACTCTGGCACGTACTCTTTCGGCGACAAATGCAGGTTTGAGCACGTCAAGCGCCGAGATTTGTCAAGTACAGGAGGTGGCGGTGGTGGGGGCGGGAGTCGCGGTGGCGGGGGGCGCTCGTCGGCTGGTGGTCAGGGGGGTGGCGTCGCCCAGGGAGAGGGACAGGCTGACGGTGGCGACGGTGGTGGCTCGTCGTCGGCCTTGATGGGGCGGGGTGGCAGCAAATAGGGGTGCGGACTCCGCCGGGATGGCGGGGCCAACTCCTGTGTCGGTTCCAGCTGAGAGGCCGCAACAGCAGCCAGGTCATAGGGAGGTGGCGTCCCGGGCCTTGGCTGGCGTGGGGACCCGAGGCGAGCGCTGTGAGGGCCTGTCCCGGAGTGGCTTCCGACTTGGAATCAGGTACGAGGCAAAGTTTTGAACAGGTTTCGCCTTGTGAGGTTGAAGAGTGGCGAGTGGCTGTGTCTGCGTTGGCTGAGTGTGAAGCTGCAGAACGGTACGTCCATCTTAACCATGTGGCGCATGTGGGTTCAAATTTTCTTCGACGGTGTGGAAGACGCGTGGAGAGGTTCGTCGCCGCTGTTGGCCAGGAGTTCTTTCTGCCCCATGTCGATGTGATGCGCGTCAAGGCGCATTTGGAGAAGTAAAAACGTTTCCCCGAGTTGATCAACTTTTGAGATCGTTGTCTCCGGGTGCGCCGGTTGACGTGGGCTCAGGTAGGAACCTGGACGCTGAAGTGGCGTACGGCAACCATCCTAGCGCGTTACTGCACAGAGATCGGATCACAGACAACGTTGTATCGGACGTGATATTGGGGCGTGCGTTGATTGTCGATATTCGCTTCATCCGAGAAGTCTTAGGTGTTAGAGTTTCGCCGTTGGGCGTCATCGACCATCCGAAGTTCACAATTATTCACGATCTCCCTTTCACCTCTGACTTGCCTATCCGTTCGAGCGTAAATCGCGATACCGACTTTGATCAAGCACCTGAATGCCTCTTGGGTCATGTGTTGAGTGACATTCTAGAGCAGGTGCTGTTTTTGCGACAAGTACACGGGGTGTCGTTGGAATTCTGATCTGCCGCATTGATGTGAAAGAAGCCTTCCGTCAAACCCCCGTGGATCCGTCTCGGGCATCGGTTCTTGGGTACACGATCGGAGATCACGCGGTTGTTGACCTACGGTGTCAATTTGGATGGCGGTCGAGCCCAGTGTTTTGGTCCTTGTTCTCGTCCGCTTTGGAACACTCACACACACACACACTACATTTCAAGACGCGTCCGTCTCTCCCGCCGGGGCTGCGGCTGTGCAGCATGTTCAAGTAGTGTCCCCACCCGACGAAAGTACAGCGGTGCCGTTACCTGTTGATTGCCAGACTGTTGTGGGCGACGGGGCGTTTGCTGGTTCTCCGTTTTTTCGTGCGATACTACGTTGATGATGGCGTGTTGATTGAAGGGAAATTTTTCGCTGGTGGTCGCCGATGTTTGCGCGCGGTGCGTTCTCTCGCTACGGATCACTTTCGTCTGCTGACGAGAGAGGCCCAGCAGACCGCCGTTGCTGTCACAAGGAAAGATTACCGATTTCGCTACTCGTTTGGATGTGTGGGGTTGGACATTGGACACTCAGCAACTCACGCTTACTATGATCGACAAGAAACAGCAGAAACTGGGACGCATTTTGGCTGCGTGGCCCGCGACGCGGAGAGTCGCTACAGCTCGTCATGTAGCCGAGTTGACAGGGTTTCTCATGCACGTTTCGTTCGTGTTGCGGCCAGGAAAGGTTTTTGTGGGTCGTTTTTTGTTATGCGCGGTAGGAATGCCTGCTTCGTCTACTTTCGCGTCCCAAGTGACGAGCCCGAACAGACGTGTAGTGCTGGGTCCATCATTCCACAATGATCTCGAATTTTGGCGGTGGTTCCACGGGCGTGGTCTCTCGTTGCGCGGCGGAAGTTGTGTGCACCCATGTGCAACATTTTAGAACGCCCGCCTGCACTATCCGTGTTCACCGATGAGTCTAAGCAAGCAATTGGAGGATATTGTTTGCGAACGGGCCACTTACTTTCGATATGATCTGTCTGTGGAAGAGCAAGCTTGCTTTGTGGGGTCGAGCAAATCGGTCCAGGGGGTTAATGATGTCAGCATCAACGTGTTAGCGCTCCGTGGCATGGTCATGGGCGCGTGGGTGTTGGTATTGGGTCGAAGTCATCAGCCTGTGGAGGCGGGTGATTGTGTGCGACTTCGAGGAGACAACGAAGCAGCGACGGCGTGGATTAAGCGTTGTCAGNTCGAGCAAATCGGTCCAGGGGGTTAATGATGTCAGCATCAACGTGTTAGCGCTCCGTGGCATGGTCATGGGCGCGTGGGTGTTGGTATTGGGTCGAAGTCATCAGCCTGTGGAGGCGGGTGATTGTGTGCGACTTCGAGGAGACAACGAAGCAGCGACGGCGTGGATTAAGCGTTGTCAGGGGGGCCTTGAGCCTCGATCGGGGGCGCTGGTGCGCCTACTGGGGGCGCTGGAGGTAGCCAGCGGGTGGCATTTCCACGCGACCCATGTTCCCGGCATACTCAACTCGCTTGCTGATGGTATCTCACGTTGGAATACTAAATATGTTCATGATGAACTGTGCGCTGCCTCCCCTCATGTGGCGTGGCAGTTCGTGGAGTTAGGCCCGACGGAGCGCGAGTTGTGCTCCACCGTGCTGGCTTCGAGCTCGTCCGGCACGCACTTGCGCCGTCGTCTGAACGAACTTACCTGGGATTTTTTGGAGCGTGGGTGAAGTTTCGAGAGGACGTTGTGGGGAGACCGGCGTTTATGATGCCGTCGTCTCCATCGCCGGACATTGTTTCGCAATTGTTGGAATACGTGGCACACGCGTTCACAGTGTTGGGCTCGAGGCAGACGACGATAGTTGGTCATTTGTCTGCTGCTAAATTTTTTCACCGCTTGTCGTATGCGATGGATGTTGACACATGTCATTCTTTGATCAAGCAGGTGCTCAAGGGGGTGGCGCGAGGGCATGCGGATGTTGGTGCGAAGCAACGGGTACGACGTCCGGTGTCGTGGTCGATACTGAAGGAAGGGGGGCGTCTGGTGCCACAGTGGGGCACGGGTGGGCGCGTGTTGTTTCTGGCGTTGAGTGCGTCATTTTTATTCTTGATGCGGGCATGCGAAATGTTCGCTGTGTCCTCGTTGGCCATGGATTCTTGTCATGGGTTGCGTCGGGGGGACGTGGCGTTTTTTTTGGGTTCTCGCCAGTTGCCTCCGGAACGGAGGGGAGAGGCCGACAGAGTCGAGGTGCGGTTTCGGTCGTCGAAAGGCGACCAGTTTCGGAAGGGCGCCGTGTGTACGCGGGCGAGGCCGGGGCCTCCCCAGTCTGTGGAGTGTGGGGGGGGTGCAGTCGACGTGATGATTGAACTCCTGTCATGCTACCCTGTTCTCCTGTCGTCTGCTCCGTTAGTCGCGTTCGGAACCGGGGAGGGGCGATGGTCCGAGTGGACTCGTCGTCACGCGACGGAAGCGCTGCGGCAAGTCGTGTCGTTGGCGGGTCTGCCGTCGTCCGAGTACGCGTTGCACTCCCTTCGGATTGGGGGCGCCACGTACTTGGCAGCGGGGGAAGCGTCGCCAGGTGATTCTTCCTGGGTAGACCAGGGACCTGCCGCTACCGACCCGAAGGCTTCAGGAGAGGCTATCGACGAGATGCTGGCCGCAAATGACCCCGACAGCAAGAAACGCAAGAACCCAGAGCCCGGCTTCCCAACTGAAAGGTCAGGAGCAGTCGGAAAGAAAGGTAGCTACCCGGTCGGGTCCAAACTCAAAGCGGTCGCATTCACACGCGTCGTCTGTGAGGACGGAAAACCGGTGAGAAACAGCGGTGCAGCGAAAGTTCTCGTCGTGCTCCGCAGGCGTATCGTCGAGTGGGTGCGCGACGAGGAATCGCTCAGAGCCAACGTCAGCGCCAACCCCAAGCTGTCTAAGGCCAAGCAAATTCACGCTGGAGGCAAAGCTTCGACAGCCGACATCGAAGAAGCCCTGGTGGAATTCATCAACGATCAGCGCAAGCATCACGTCGGCTGTGGTAGCATGGCGGTCATGAACAAGCTGCTTGAGTAGAAGCCGGATGCCCTTGGCGGGCTGACAGCCAAGCCGAAGCCGGAGGGGGCGTTGGCTTTCAAGTCCAAATTCAAGAGCTGGTACCAACGTTTCCGCAAACGGAACAAGCTCAGCATCCGCCGGCGTATAAGCGTGGACCAAAAGCTACCGAAGGGACACGAGGGAATGGCGTGGACGACGTTGATGAAGCTGCGTAAGGCTCTCCTGGAGCGTGCTGGCGAGATCTACGCTCAGCGCTACCCGCCTGCACCTGGCGAGAGCCCCATCAGAGGAGAGGACCTGAGTTCATCGCAGCTGGAGTTGGTGACCGACGAATTGTTCGAAGAACTGGGCAACATGGACCAGACGCCAGTCCAGCACGAGATGCCGGTGGAGACGACTCTGGAAAAGACCGGTGTGAAGGATGCCCGCATCGCCACCGGAGGTGAGAGAATGACTGCTGTCTTCAGTGTTTTCCTAACTTTTGCCATGAAGTGTCGTGCGTATTTGCGGTCGGCCGGATATTTGTTCTGGTCGTGATATTATTCACATGTTCTTGGAAACGTAATTCTACCGTTTGCATCCATTTCAGCCGGCGTCTGTTGCATTCGCACAATTTTGAAACCTCTCCCCTACCCCCCAACATCGTGTATCCCCCCCCCCCCACCAGGAAAAGAGAAGGAACGCTTCACGCTCTGCCTGCCTGTCTCGGCGGATGGCAATAAGGTCCCGCTGCGCATTTCAAGGGTACGCCTTTCGTCTCGCCTGCCACGCCCGGGAAGGGAAAGGCGACTCAGCCGCGGAAGAACTCTATCGCGTGGGAGGTACTTCCTGCGAACCGCTCCAAGCACGGGCTCCCCGTGGGAGGCATGTCCTTCGGGGTGCAGGAGAAGAGCTGGTGTGACCTGCGGGAGTGCAAGCTCTGGATCAAGGACAGCTGGGAGCTCCGTCCCAACAACGGCAGCATCGTCCGGTAGCGCCGATGCATCTTGGTGCTGGACGACTTCAAGTGCCACAAAGACGATGGCTTCATCGCGGCCCTCAAGAGGGAAGCCAGCACCATCGTCATCTTCATCCCAGGCGGGTTGACTCCTCTACTCCAACCGCTGGATCGCATGCTCAACAAGCAGCGGCTGCTGCGGGGCATGTACACGGCACACACGGCAAAGGCGGTCAGGGACCCCAAGACGGGCAAGCTGGCACCGCCGGGGCGTGGGGCCGTCGCTACTTGGTGCAAGAACGCGTGGGCATCCATCACCCCCGAGACAGTCAAGACTTGCTTCAAGATCTGCGGCCTCACGCTCGCGCTCGACGGCAGCGAAGACCACGCCTGGTGCCTGCACAACTTCGGGGACGGCTACCGCGAGCTCCTGGAGCAGCAGCGCGTCGAATGGCTTGCGGAACACCCCAACGTGACTCTGCCGCCGCTCCAACTTCCGAAGGTACCAGCCGAATCAACCGCCAATCACATCGAGGCTGCAGCAAAGGAGCTCGAGGAGTGGCTTTTGCCTCGCGGCGACGACAGCGACATCGAGATTGAGGATGACGACAGCGATGTAGAAGTCGTGGAAGGGGCGGGGGATGAAGAAGTGATCGAGCTGTAAAATACCGCCGTTACGTGGGAGTACCAGTCCAGTAGAGGTTTGGTTTGCAACATGTTGGTAGGAGACTGGCGCTAGAACTCTGCGATGCAGAGGACATCGGCTTCAAAAGAGGTTTTTTTTTTTGGTGCTACATACGTTGTGGAACAATACTTGCAACGCGGTCCACGAGCATGTGCCAGTAAAGATTTCCAGAATACTTTTGTGGAGATCGCTACTTTCTGCCGGTTTTTCGCACGAGTCCTAGGTGGTAGTTTGTTGCGGTGGTTTCGATGAAAAAACAAATAAAAATGATCACACGCTGAAAAACAAATATATTTTCAAGTCCGGCGGGTACCGTATCACAAAAAACGTTATTGCGCAGAGGTACATGAGCACCGCACGGCGCCGAAGTTGATTCTTCATCAAACGCGCGCCTACCTGATNCCTGTGCGATAATCGAATTAAATCATGTGGAACCCGGTTTTTGTTCCGCGCCTCTGTGCCATGGCCCCGACCCGTGCGGAGACGCCGATCCGTGCGAAGACCCCGATTCTTACGGTATTTTGCACAGCACGACGATCCAGGACCTCTGCGAAATATACACGCGCGAAGCGGTGTCCAGATCGATGCATTTCGAAGATGAGTGGGAAGGGGACGTTCGTTGGGCTAATTGGGATCCTTTCGTAGGGGAGGGCTTTTTCGTGAAGCGGCAGAAGCGAAGAAGGCAAGAAGACAGTTTTCGGAGCCCGCCTCCCTTCGTGGAGTCGTCAGCTCCGTGGGCAAGGGAAGGCACCCGCGATAAGCCCCTGTTTGGCATCCGAAAGAAGGATTCCGGTACAACACGAAAATCCTCGTCTTCGCGAGCATCCCGCTCTGTGTCTTCAACGATGCTTTCAACGCATGGTCAATGTCCATCAAGGTATGTGGAACCGGTGTGCTTCTTCATCTTCAACATACAGTAGTACGACACCCACCGCCCCCCCCGGTGTTTGCTATCGGGGTTGGGTTTTCGTCGCTTGGCAAACCCCGCTCCCCGCGCGTCCAGCGCTAGCTCCCTTGGTGAGTACGATCCAACTCCGGCGAGAAGAACCGGTGGCGTCCTCAGGCGCGCGTCTTATGGTAGAATTGAGAGGCCAGATAGTATAACGGCTCTGCATGATAGATGACTATACACCGCCCCGTGGCATATCAAACCAGCGTTTCGATTTTTCCACGACTACGGTGAGAATTGGGATCATGCACATGTACTTCGAATTTGTCAGGGAGTTGCATGCTTACAACAACTGAGTTCCTGTTCGTTCGTCGCTGCCCCACAACGTAAAAGCTGCTGCTGCTGCTGCTCCTGCTTCTGCTGCTGCAACGAGTAAACAACGAGCTAACATACCTTCCCTACTGCCTCCTACATATACGCTGCTCGGAAGCACTCTGTGGGGGCCACCTATTTCGGGTGGGGGTGGGCAAGCGATCAGGTGCAACGTAGGCGTTCCGAGACACTCCTCGGCACCAGCGCTTCGCCAGGGGCATGCGTCGAGGGGGAAATGTCGCTACAGGCAAGTGGTATGGGCGAGCTACAGCGAGGCTGTGAGGCGACAGGAAGAGTTCGTGCAGCGGATGGACGAGTGCTCGACGTCGAGGCAAGTGCTGTGGGTTGACATTTGGCATAAATCAAATTTTCTTAGTGGAGAGGATATGTGTTTTTTTTTAAGCATTTATCGCATTATTATGCGAAGACGTTCTTTGTCCCCTCGTCGATGAACTCAAGTGCCTATTTTTCTCGTGGATCAAATGCTTTTCGTGGAAAAGGTTGGTGTTTTTTTGTAAAGTATTTATCGCACTGTGACGCAATAACGCTCATTTGTCGCCTCGTTGGTAAACTAAGGTGCCTATTTCTCTCGTCGATGTAGTTCGCTTTGTGTGCCACGATTCAACCCTCTCTGTTGCACGCTTCCCCGCTGAAACAACCAGATATGTTGTGACATGGTGTGACATGGCTTATTTTTATCGTATCTCAGATTTTTCTACGCGGGGGTCCGCTCACGTGGGTGTCAGACTCCCCACAAAGAGCGAAGCCCCTGTACTGCAAGCACCCCAACAATTCCACCAAGCTACCGTGCCCGTATTGCAAGGCCGAACAAGACGAACGTCTTCCAACTTGCGGCGACCTCGGGAACGCAAGGTACGACGTTGAAGCAAATAGGCGGACGTGGGGGGAAGCCCAAGATGGCTGGCGCGAGTTGCAGGGATTGGACTTGGCCCCGAACGAGCAGACGAAGCGCTCGGCGGAACTAGAAATAGTGGCGCCTACGGGGGTTAGCGGCGGTGTCCTCGGACGCCCGCTGTGGGACAAGGCGTTTGTTAACCCTGCACGGCACGTCCCCGTCGAGAGTCTTCATGCCTATGCGCTGGTGAGTCGTTTTGTCTTTTAGGCCCTACCGAACAGTCACAGTTTTTTCTCCTTCTTTCTCACATTAGTTGTCCATTCTAAAACATCCATGGGAACCCGTGGTCACAAAACTAGGTACTCCACGCCGCAAAGGAACAGCAGAAATATGGTACATGGGCGCCCCACGACACTAAAACTGGTCCCCGAGGGGGTCTTGCGTGATTGCCGACGCTAAATCAAGGACTAGGGTACATACCCGATTTGGAAGAACGATAGAAAATACAGGGCCTGCGAAATGGAAGAAGTAGAGGAAACTAACTTCAGGCCTAAAAGAAAGGCTTCCCACACCCGGCCACATTGCCGGAAGGTTCCATTCTGGCATCATCGTGTTTGTTATTGTTTATTTTCGTCGTGAAACTCATCCAATGGGGCACAGAATGCATGTTGTGTAGCCTGACATCCTCGCGTCCAAAAGTAGACAGCGTTATGGGAAAATGTAAGTTTGATGCATATATGTCGGCACATGTAATGTGTTTTGTGTCAGCGGCCTGAATGTTGTGTCTCGTGGGAAACCTCATCTGATCATACCACAGTGCAAGCACCCCTTGAGAACACAGCGAGATTGCAGTATAGTATGAATGCACATCATGTTGATTCCCCCACTGCGCCCCCGCCTTTTTGTGTTCGACCTGTACACTGTTTACCGCAGGGGGCGCAGGCGTTGGTGCAGTTTTTTTTTCTGGCCCTCATGAACGAAGCTGGCCGGGGAGTGATCTCCTCCATCGTACGGCAAGGCAGCACGCTATACCCACCAGCTACAGCGCCATTGAAGGACATATGCACCAACTATTCTCCCTGAAGGGTAGTGACAACTGGCTATTGGGCTCGATCCTGCTTCTTGTGTCCCGCTGTGTCCTCCATGACGCGACAGCACTGGTAATATTGTTGTCTATTGCCTACACGTGAGGGCGCGGGTTGTTATGCGGGTTCATGCGATATGCCATCGTTCTCGTAAAAATACTACTTACCAGTAAACGATTAAAATGTTATGCCCGCGGCCCCCTGCAAGTATACGATAATATCGACGGGTGCGTTATAATGAGCTACCGTAGGGTTGCGAAGATTATGTGGACAACGACCGAGATCCAAGCACTTTTTTTTTTTTTGCAGCTTTTCGCGTCCATCTTGCGCAGAAAGAGTACGTGAAGTCGCGAGAGCTACAAGCCTTGAAAGACGCATGGGGAGGAGAGCAGGCCGTGTTGGCGCAACTACGGAAGCTGTTGCAAGTGGCGTCTGCTCTGACGTTCGCAGTTCGTTCGCCGTTCTTCGATAAGGCTTAACGCAAGAAGCTCATGGAGCATGCCCGGGACACGGTGAGGGCCTTCAGAGACAATTTTCGTACCGTGTCTGACAGATCGCCGTGCAAGTTGTCCACCCAGCTTTGACCCTAGCCCATCGTCCTTGCTACAATATATGTACCAGGGAATGCCTAGGCTTGACACTTCGGAATCCCGATTGAATTCAATGCTTCCTTTTTCGCATAGAGGCCTCACACCTCCGCCCCGAATAAAACCTCGTTGATTTGTTACCGCTTGTTGTTCAAGACCCTTTGCTTTGGTGGAACTTTCGGATTTCTCAAAAGCTCGAACAAACGTTATATCCCCACGCACTTCTTGGCGTTTTCCTCGCGGCGTCTCTTGTAACCATTGCTCCTCCAAAAATGTGCCCATTTCATGTTTGTTGCACACACACCCCCCCCTCCCATGGACTAAACGAGGGCGACGATAGATCACAAAAATATGTGTTAAACATCGTCTTCCCAGGTCCGGGTGTACGACAAACAAAGTATAAACCCAAAGTTTATGCTGGTACATGGTCCTCGCACCAGCAACAAGCGCATTTCTCATCATGTCATTCAAGTGCGCATCAGCTTTCATTGCAAAATGGCCTTTCCTTTTTTCTTTTTTGGGTGTTGTGGTGCAGGTGGGGGTGTATGCGGAATTGCTTGGGAGGGGAGGCGTGAGGACAACCGTGCACTCTGCTCTGCACTACGTGCAGGCCATTGAAGACCATGGTGAGTTGAGAGAATGTATGAAGAAGAATGTATGAAGAATTTTCGCTCAGGTTCTTGAGACTGTCCGAGTAGAACGACCCGCTTTATTCTATTTTCTTGTACGTGCAATGTTATTTGATCGACGATCCGTGTGGAACGCCGATTCCCCCCCCCTTTTTGCGTTTCTCCTATGTGATGCCGTGGGGATATGTTTTGTTGTATCCGTAGATATAGCCGTTGGCAGGCCACATGCCTGATGCCAGCACGGGCGAAGCTGCGAACCAAAGGAACAAGAAGGCCAACCATTCTAACAGCGGCCGCAACGCCGCGGCGCACTACGCGCCGGTTCAACATGGACCTCGCCATCGATGCCTGAAGAAATTCCGTGGGAGGTCACCAGATTCGACCGCAGGTTGAAGAAATATGTAGTGGAGACCGTCAAGGCTGGCTCCGGCTGCTCTGCGGTGCTGCGGTCGTAGGGTGATGTTCTGCCGGGGGGGTTGTCTTCCGCCCCGACGGACGCTCGCGCCGCTAGCACCCCAACGGCTGCTCAACGTGCTGCTCAGTTCCCCGGCGCTGCAACCTAGACAAGCGTGCTGTGGGAGGCCGGGTCGCCCAGGGGCAACGACGCCGGCGGGGGCGGGTGGGAGTCCCGCATTGCCACGGACCCTCTTCTTCCCGATGAAAAGACGTTGATCGGGGCGTACAACACATACATCAGCTGTGGTCGTGCGGATGGGGGTGCGTTATGCGAAGAACCGCGCTGTGCCGACTGCTGGCTGAACTCGTCCAAGCTCGACGACAAGGACATCGTTTGCACACGGGTCAAAAACGGCGCTCCTCTCTGGGCAAGTAGCGGCCTTGGCCGGTGGAAAGGGGGGGATGTCAGAGCGTCGACTCGAACGGCACCCGGTGGAGATTGGTGGCTGGGCGAGGGATGTGGAGAGGACGTGGAATTCTTCAAGGAGCATCCCTTCGACGACGATGTACATGATGGACCCGCTCAGGTGTCGGGCCTTTCGTTGGCGCGCATCCTGTACTTCTTCGAGCACAGAGGGAACACGATCCCACGACCGCCCGTTGACATCGTGGGTGCTGGCGTTCGACTACGTCTCCGACGGTGTTGGGAACCAACGTAGTCCCGACCCCGTCACATTGCACCCGGTCTTGGTCCTGCGAGGTAGACGGCGCCCGGTGGTGTTCCCTTCAGCCGCAATCAGGCGGCATGTGCACATGTACCATTGCTGTCCAGGGCCCGAGCATCCGCTTGCCGATCGTGAAACGATGTGTGGACCTGAACGATGTGGTCAGAGCAGACGCCAAGTGTGGCGACACAAGTTCAGGCTGGCGTCGCCGGGAGACGGGCCGTGCGACCGCTTTCTCGTGAATGAATTCCACCACAGCATCAACCGACGTTATAGGTTATTGTGACATTTTTCCTCTCGATGTCGAGATGGTCCGTATGAAAGGTCCAATCATTTTTGCGCGCGGCAGCAATTATAGTGGTATATGAAAGCAAGTATCGCTCCCGCCGGCAGCCCCTCGGGGGTCGGTGGTAGTTTAAGCTTGTCACCAGCGCCACCCACAGCGTCTCGTTTTTGACGAGCCGTCAGACGTGAACGCCTATAGAGAACATGGTGTGATGGCGGGGTGTGTAAATTCTGTTCGACGATACCACCCTAATAATCATGTGACGTTAGGAAGTGGCTGGATACTCCCTTGCATAGTATGGTACCTTAAGAAGCCCAAGGACGACCACCTTACATGGCGGACCCCGACCTTTTTAAGGACGATCCTAGCCCTAGCAAGTCGGAACCCTCTCGCACAGACCATAAGCCAACCGTGTAGGGCCTCGACCCAGGATAAGGCCGGGACAGTCTTGCCTGTACAGGAAGCCAAACCTCCAGAGGTAATCCTGAACACCTTGTACATTCTTGCGCCCTGTCGCACTGGGCGTAATCGAGCCCTACAGGGCCCTGGCCCAGGGTAAGGCCGGGACAGCCCACCCTGTATAGGAAGCCAACCAACCTTGTAGGCGTCGCCATGGACACCTTGTACTTTCTTTCGCCCGGTCGACCTGACCCTAACCCAACTCTCCAGGCTCCTGACCCCGTACAAGGACACGTAGACGGTGCCTGTACAACATGAAACCCCTACAGGGCTGAGCACTCATACCTTGTACAATACAGAAACCATGTACAGGGCGCACACAAGGTGTACACAGGGTAAGACGGCCTAGAGGCCCCGCCCAGGTTCTCGAAAGTGGGTACGTGTGGAGGGAGGAGTCCGGGATGCGTGACATGGCTGGTGTGATTGCGCAGGCATGGGCCGGGAGTTTAACACCTTCGAACAACATCTCGTCATTCAGATGGGCGGGCCTATGGGCGGTGGACATGGAAAAGGCATTCGGTCGGCTACAAAGCACGAGGAAACGGTCGGCGTCTGACCGCCCGATCCCGGAGGACCTCGCTATCGTAACCTCCGAGGAGCAGCTGGAAGTAGACCTCGGTCCTGACGCCCTGAAGGAGTTGAAAGAACGTGGGTACATAATCAAGGGGCTCCGTGTCAACACCGTGCTGCTCGGCGGGCTCATCCACCTCCGCAAGCGCTCTAAGAAAATTACGACAGTACGGGCGGGCGCGGGGGTCAAGGATGGTGGTGTCATGACCCGCCAAGAAGTATTGGAGTTCTACGAGAAGCTCGACAACGAGAAAAAGGCAGCTGAGAAAGAAAAGGAGGTCAATCGGCAGAAGCGCGCGGAAAGGAAGGCAGCGAAGGAGGCCGACCGCGCGAACGGTGGAGGTCGTGGGCAGGGTGGCCGGCGAGCGGGCGGGCAGGAGGGCGGGCGGGGGGCCGGGCGGGGCGGGGGGCGAGGCGGAAGGAGCAGCGGAGGGCCGAACGGGGGACGTGGTGGAGGGCGGGGAGAGATGAGCGTGAGGGGTGAACGAAGCGGGACACGGACGGCGGTCGGGGGGGGCGGTGGTGCGCATCAGGGAGGGCGAGGGGGCCGTGCCCCCGGACAGGGCGGCCGGGGCCGCCCTGCTGGTGCTCGCGGGGGGGGGAAGGGGAGCGGGAGGGCGCGAGGGGGGCGTGGGGAGAGAGGGTCGCGTCCAAGGAGAACCGGGACGGCGAAGAGGGGCGACGGTTCCCATGCGTCAGCCGCCGCCGCCGCCGGCCCCCGTTTCCTCCCGAGGACGGCAACGGACCCCGACACCAATCGATGATGTTTTGACTAGAATGCACATAAAGAGGCGTCAAATGACCCCCAGACGCCATTTCTTTTTCTTGCAGAAAATATGCTGCACGTAGTGGAAGCTCGGAAGTGGTTTGTTGGATATTTAGAGGTGGTTCCACCACCGGAGGTCGGGGGGGGCGGGGGGTGATACCTTGACTTTGCGGCGAAAGCGGGGATATGGTGGTTTTGTCCCCGGTATGCATTTTTTTTTTTCATTACAAGTTCCCTTGTTGTAGAACACACCTGGCCACCAAATGGTGTGTTGTGGGAGTGTAAAAGCGAAGTATAGACATTCAGAACAAATATTGGGGTTCCCCGGGGAGAATTTGCCGCAAAGGCCTGGGAAAGGTATGCCTGTTGTAACAGGCAAAACACCCTCTCCATAACGTTTTTCGCTCTAGGTTTTTTTTGTAGAGTCGACATATGATCAGAACGGACTCATCATGCATGAAACTCGTAGTTTTGGCTCTCCTCAAGTTCACAGCACCCGCTGTGCGGTCAAAACAGGGTTATTTCAGCCCCGAGAAATATGGTGGAAACCCGGGGATGCGACGTTCGTGGCCCCTGGCTGGATCGATCCCATTTTTTTTTTTCTACATGGACATGAGTTCAAGCAGAGCGTGTACGATAAAAATAGGGTCTTGAAACGCTTTAGATCTCGCGCAATCACCACATAAAGTGTCTCTTAACGGGGGCGGGGGTGTTTCCCACCGTATTATCCCGGAAAAATTAGGGGTATTACAGGAGCCATATCTTCCCAGCACTTGGTTTTTTTTGGGGGGGGAGGTAGCGTGTGATGTTAGCTATCGTACAATACCTCGACATCGATGATATTTGTCCTAATAAATAGTCAAGAACGAGCTGTTTGAGCGGAGGGTCTCTTAAGTGTCTCTTAATTGGTACATTTTCTNGGGGATGCGACGTTCGTGGCCCCTGGCTGGATCGATCCCATTTTTTTTTTTCTACATGGACATGAGTTCAAGCAGAGCGTGTACGATAAAAATAGGGTCTTGAAACGCTTTAGATCTCGCGCAATCACCACATAAAGTGTCTCTTAACGGGGGCGGGGGTGTTTCCCACCGTATTATCCCGGAAAAATTAGGGGTATTACAGGAGCCATATCTTCCCAGCACTTGGTTTTTTTTGGGGGGGGAGGTAGCGTGTGATGTTAGCTATCGTACAATACCTCGACATCGATGATATTTGTCCTAATAAATAGTCAAGAACGAGCTGTTTGAGCGGAGGGTCTCTTAAGTGTCTCTTAATTGGTACATTTTCTATGTCTACTTGGACTTTCCTCCTTCTTCCGCTGCCGGCTATGCAGTACATTATTTATTTGGCCAAAAACTGGTGTACTGCTGTAGTAGTTGTTTTCAACACGTCCCCGACTGCTGTATACATCTCATTTCAAGTATTTTAAATATGTTCGACGTCAACAAACGGTTGCCAGTTGTCTCGGCGATGCTGACTTTTCGTACCACCCCCTTCCTTAGCAAAAGACGCGTAGTTTGAGGTATAGCATGCCTCCATTGATTGGCTCCGGGGATGGTGAGCTACCGTCCCCTGAATTTTAAGGATGCAACCTCGCTTCAAGGAAGGACGCTTTTTTCAGGAAAAACCATGTATGTGCGTCCTAAAAGCGGGATTGACTGTACAGTCGACTCCGCTTTAAAGACACACCACATTTCCCCCCGAAAAAAGCGTATTTAACGCGGGGAAGTGTCTTTAAAATTCCGGGGCCACTAACGCACCATCCCCGGGGCCAATGAAGGCGAAACATATGTCAAAAGGTGCGCATTCGCAGCAGAAAAGCGACCACAAGAGATGTTACTTGAAACCTACGACACAACGTGATTTGAAGGTCGCAACCACTGCTGCTGCTATTACTATTGTGCTGGAATATATACTTACTTGCATACCATTATTATTATTTTGTTTGCCCTCCGACAATTGCAGATAAATGCAGACATACATAAAAAGTCGATCGTAAAGGCCATCATGCCAAGCCAAATTAACTCGATGCCCAATAGCTAGGAATGTTTGCCTCTAAGTCAACAAAACTTTTGTCGAAA